AGCAAAAGAGCTGCCCTGCTGAGCCCATTCCAGATTGCATAACCATGAATAAAAAAAATTTGGGGGTGGTTAGTTATCAGCAATAGATAATTGAAACAAATGGCAACCAATAATAAATGGCAATTAATAATAAAACAATAAAACAAATGGCAATTAATAATAATTATTATTCTAGCTGTTCAGGCCAGAAATAAAAGAATAAAACAAAATTTAAAAACACAATAAAACAAAAAATAAACAATAAAACAAATAGCAATTAATAATAATAATTATTCTAGCTGTTCAGGCCAAAACTTTAGAGTCATCTTTTATTCCTCTCTTTCTCTCATACTGCACATCATGTGCAAATTCTGTTGGCAGTATCTTCTATGCACATCCAGAATCAGCCACTAGCACTGTGCCACCAGCACCTCACCTAGGTTACTATAGTAGCTTCCTCCTCTTTTTCTTTTTTGAGATGGAGTCTCGCACTATCGCCCGGGCTGGAGTGCAATGGCATGATCTTGGCTCACTGCAACCTCCGCCCCCTGGGTTCAAGCAATTCTCCTGCCTCAGCCTCCTGAGTAGCTGGGATTACAGGTGCCCACCACCACACCCAGTTAATTTTTTGTATTTTTAGTAGAGACAGGGTTTCACTATGTTGGCCAGGTTGGTCTCAAACTCCTAACCTTGTGATCCACCCGCCTCGGCCTCCCAAAGTGCTGGGATTACAGGCATGAGTCACCGCGCCCGGCCAGCTTCCTCTTCCCTTCTACCCTGATCCCTGCTCTTCACATCCCAGTCACCCCGCCTCAGTCTATTTTTCACAGCAGAGTCAAAATTACCCTTTAAAAATACAAGCAAGCAGGCATGGTGGCTCATGTCTATAATCCCAGCACTTTGGAAGGCCAAGGCAGGTGGATTACTTGAAGGCAGGAGTTCGAGACCAGCCTGGGCAACATGGTGAAACACCATATCTACTTAAAATACAAAAAATCAGTTGGGCATGGTGGCACACACCTGTGATCCCAGCTACTTGGAAGGCTGAGGCAGGAGAATCACTTGAACCCAGGAGGTGGAGGTTGCAGTGAGCCAAGATGGCACCATTGTACTCCAGCCTGGGTGATAGAGCGAGACTACATCTCAAAAATATAAAATAAAAATAAAACAAAAATACAAGTAAGATCACATATTCCCTTGCTCAAAACCCTCCAGTGGCTGCCCATATCACTCAAAACAACATCCTGAGCCCTCACAATATCCTAAACGGCCCTATGACCTGCTGTCTCACCAACTTACTCTCCTGCCAATCCCACTCAGTTCACTCTGATCCATCCACATTGGCCTCATGCGCAAACGCCAAACAAGATCCATCTTGGGCCTTTTTCACCCCCATTCCCTCTGACCAGAACACTCTTCCGTAGATGCTCACATGGCTGTCTCCCTCATTTAAATCTGGTCTCCACTCAAATGTTACCTAGTAGAATCCCACCCTGACCAGTATACCTAAGAGAGACCCCCATCCCACCACCAGCTATCCTCCCTGACATGCTCTATTTCTCTTCATTACACTTCATCTCCACCTCCTTTTCTTTTCCTCCTTCCTTCCCTCTCTCTCACTTGTTTCTTGTCTGTTTCCTTCCATCATCACTCAGGCCCCATCAAGGCATGGATTCTGAATGCTCTGCTGCAATCCCACTGTCTAAAACAGTATCTAGCATGTGCAGTGCTCAATAAATACATGTTACATGAGTGAACACATTACAAATTGTTGCCTTTCATATCCCTGAAAACTAGGTAAAAATGGTCCTAAGCCTCCAACCTCAATACTGCATTTTGTGGGCCCTTCTTGGAACTTGGAACTTGGCACAACAGTCATGTCAGGATCTCCTTAACACCACACGATGTTGCTCATTTGCTCAAACTTTCCAAGGCTTCCCATAGCCCTCAGGATCAAGTTTGTCCCCTTCACATGGCCCATAGGCTCTGCAGGACCTGATCCTAACGCCCACTCCAGGTTCAATGGAGTCACTCACCAACATGCACAACACTCCAGACCTTTGGTGACCCTCCACCTCACTGTGGTTCCTCCATCCTCTCTTCTTTTCTAGGCTACCCACAATTTGTGGAAATACAGTGGGTTATCCAGTGGTGGTAGTCACCAGTAACTTGGGGTTATGGTGCCACCCTGAGCAAAGAGGGCAGGCAAGGGTGCTTCTGGAGGCAGGAAGCTACATGCTGTGTGGGGCACAGTGGAAAGTGAAAACGCAAGTCCCCTTATTTGAAAATTATTGAGAATTTCAAGACAGTGATAGCAGGGCATTAATCCAAGCCTGGAGCCCTTCCGAGCATGGGATGCTGAGCAACCTCACAGGTCAAACATCCACGAACCTGGCCCTGTCTGGTAACCACAGTGAAACATGGCAAGATACAGCACTACATGCCCAGTTGGGCTGGTCATGACTCACAAATGTGTCAACACTGGCACATCCTCAGGGATACGGAAGTATACTTGTTTTTGGAGAGAGACTAGACCTTCATCCTTGAGGTGAAGAAGATTCTCTCTCCAGGGTGCCTGCTCATCAGATACTCCATTCTGGCTAAGTTCTTCCACTGCTTGCTTATTTAGTACAGGGTTAACTTAATGACACGGACAAGTGCCAAGAAGAGAAAAGGGGACAGTAAGGAGAGAGGAAATTTCATCAACCTTTTTATAATGCAAGGCAACAGAAGCCAAGAAACCACATAGGATAGTAACAGTTCTACCTCTTTCTCTCACAAGTATTTCAGTTTGTCAAGTCTTCCTTTGGTTTTTGAATGACAGAGTCTTCCCAGTAAAGTAAGTTAATAAACTCTAGACAGGAAAAGTTATTCTTTCAGGTACTCAACTGAGTATTGGGAGAAATGCAATGTCTGCTCTTTCAGGAAGAGGCTGTCCCTCTGAAAATGCAAAACAATCATATTCTAATAAAACAATAATAAACATGAAAGTTGCGATATTTCTTTATTTTAGGCCAAGACAGGAATAACGTGAAGTCGCTCAGACACTCAGCTTGCCATAATATAGTCCTCTCAGCATTTTCTTGCTTCTCCATATCTGACCTTGGCAATTTCAATTTCTCTTACAATCTCTTTCCTCTGTCATTCATGATTCTAGGTCTGAGTTTTATAAACATTAAAAAAAATCCACAATGAGAATATATTTTACATCGTGACCCAGTACACATGTATCAAAAGAACTAGGTTTCATGTGCAGAATGCTCTGATATTTTCTTCTGTATTTTATTTCATTCTTTAGAAATGGTTTCACAATCCACTAACGGTTCATGACCCAGTTTGGAAACACTGTGATTTTAGATTGTACTTGTATACATTATTATCATCCACACTTCATCAAACTCAAGCTCCGTCTGGGTGTCTACACAATCCACAAGAATAAAACATGGGTATCTTTTAAAAGTCAAGCATTTAAATGACTCCTGTAGCTGAAAAACAATGAGCATTATCCAGCTAGAGGACTGAAATGAAGGGAAGGCAGCAGCATGGAGAACGTCGTCATAGCTTGGTGTGCAAAACAGAAGCAGCCACACAGAGGGTGGAGGATGGCGAAGAGGGAAATTTCTATGTCTGGCGTCCTCCGTGTGGGCCCACTGTTTAGTTTAAAGTGGCGCAGTCTCCCAGAATATCAGACACGCTCACATTCAAACCCATGAAAACACTTCAAAGAAAAGATTTGTCTGTCATCTGAGAGGCTCCCATCTCCTCAGTCTCTCTCCTATCTTCTATAAATGGTTAGTACCCTGTTCTGTCATCTTCCTTCTCAAAGAATTCCCCACACTCCTGCCACTTCCCTCTCTCCTCTGGCCCCCTGCCTAGTCCAAGATAAGATTGTGGAATCCAGAGCCTTCACTGTGGCCAACCAAGCCAACTGCCCTTAGGGCTGTTCCCCATGCTGTGCCTTCAGTGGCTCTGACATCCACATTTTTCTAGCTGGCCTTCAGAATCTAGAACTTCCTTCCCCAGCACACCCGCCCCGCAGATCATGTCTGTCTGTCTGTGTGACAGCTGCTTCTCTACCCCACCACAGTCAAACCACATAACATAGCATTTCATAAGGATAAGATGGTGACACACTTGCTAGGAGCTCAGCACCGGGTTAGGTCCTCTGCACACCTCCTGCGATTCTCATGCCACCGTGCCAGGAAGGCTCCCAACTGGAGTAACTGGCTGGGAGTGGAACCCAGGAAGGACAAACTCCAGGTTCTTTCTACCACCTAACAATGGCCCCAATGACACCACACAACCTTTCAGCTACATACAAAATTGCCTTTCCTGCTTGCCTCCAGAATGAAGCTACTGACTAGAGGTGAGGGGTAACGTATGTGGGACCCTCTCCATGACATTAGTGGTTAGGACACAGGTACTCTTGGTGAGGTTCCTCAGGAAGCATCCTGCCTGCACTCAGCACCAAGAAGAGTTGGTTCCACTTCTACCTATGGCAATGAGATTCGGATCACCAACGAGGTTACCCTTGGGGACCAGCGGTTACAGCTAAGGACAGCCCTCAGACAGTCGTGAGGTTGGGTGTGCAGAGTGGCCTCATTCCCGGCGCCACCATTTGCCTTCCCCATCTTTTCCCTCTATGGCCACTGTGTCATAGTCATCTTCTATAGGCCACCTACAATTATCTCTAGAACACAGCAAGAAACAAAGAAATAATACCTTGAATTTTCCATACCATCTCATATGCTTTTTCTGATGTTCTCCCTGCCCTTGTAGAGTAGCACCTCCTCCCGAGAATCAAATGCAAGGCTGCCCAGCCCTGAGGATAACCATTTGTGTACAAAAATGTCCTTTCAAACTATACCTGGAATATCCATACTTGAAAGCAATGCTGGCCTTTTTCCCCACTCTACTTCTCCAATCTCACCGCAACGAAAAGGATGTGCATAGAGAAGGCTTGAGGATAGAGACAGAACCCCAACAATGAACCACAAATCCAGGGGGACATGCCAACCTACCTTGGTCAAATCCATTCCAAGTTTGAGTTGTGAAATGAGATGAAGAATTATACTACGCTGATCCTCCATGACGCCCAATTCCGTCTCTTCCTTATCTTCATTGTCACTTTTTTCATCTTCAGACAAAACCAATTCAGAGCCTGAGTTTGGCTAAAATGAAATAATCAATAAAAATCACCAGCTGGTCCAACAGAAGTTAGAAATAAAGTGTATGAATTCATATGCTTTGCAATGACAGAAGAAACCCAATCCTGTCCCACGCAGAGTTCCTCTGTGACCCAGTCCTGTTGGCCATGGGGCAGATGAGTCCCCCGGAGGTCAGCCCTGTGCCTTGGACACTGCATATCCCCTTTCATCTCTCCCGTCTTCCCCGATTAGTGAGCCAAAGGGACTTCCCCTGACAAAATAGCTCCCTGTTCTTTAAGAAACTAACTATAGTATATGGATATGAGCTCCCTTCATTTTGCCTATTAGCAAATAGAAGTTTACCAAAGTTAAACTCCTGTTAACTTGCACGACCCAGGCCACTTCATATCTAATATAAATTTTTCTGTTTATAAGTAAAAGTTGGATTATCCAGGGAGTAACTAAGATTATTTATGGAAAAATGTGCTCTAAGACTATTTCTATCCAAATCAATTAGGATCACTCTACCAGGTGTAAGAAAAGGCTGAGAATTACCATTAATTTAGGGAGGAAGACACCAAATGAAAATGTAAAACAAAACTCCTGAAACTTTATACTACTACTGGGATTCACACTGGCCAACAGACCCCGCTTTCCTCAATGCAAGTTTATTAATTCAATCACTCAATTCCATTTTTTCACATTACATAGAAAACAGGCAACTTACTAAACTGGGCAAGGGGATTACCGCACATAAAATTTTCCAATATCCAAGTGTTAAGAACTCTGGCTACAAGGTAAACTTGCCCTCAGCATTCTATTGAAAGAAGTCTCCACATTCCACACTCCACATTTACCTATGTTCTTATGATGCTTGCTTATATATAAGCAAAAGCACTCTGCACAGAACATTATACATTTCTTTCCAATTATCAATAACAGGTCAGACATAATCTACAGAAATTCAGAAGCTCAAAGGTATTAAATATGAAAGGATACAGACTTGTCCAAATGTTCATGCAAAAAACGAACAATTTACTAACCTCATTAGACAGAATCATTTTATATCTACAGGCACTTCTAACATACAAAGTTTATTTTAGTGGTCAAGGTGTTTAAAACTGTCTGGCCTTACATACCCACACTGACCATTTGTTTCCAACATTCCAAAGAAAGGTAATAATGGTGTTCCTTCCCTCCTGGGGTAGGCATTTTTAAAACTTCAATGTAAATAGACATTTTCCATAGACATACTCCTAAGGTGTTCTCAATCAGCTCTAAATAATCCCAATTCTAAAGAGATGGTTGGGAAGGTCTCAGTGAAGTCCACAGGATATTCCCCCAGCCAAAAGCTAAGTTTTCTTTCATTATGTGCCCAGTTCTCTAGCCACCTCATAATGGGTATTATCTGACATCACTGGCAAGTTGCTTTGCTAGATTATGCTGAAATAATTGAGGAATCCTTACCTGTGCTAACCCTGAGAAGAGAAGCCAGAGGGAAGTCTCTGAGCTGTGAGTTACCCTGATTCTACACCGGAAGTTAGGAGTAGGACACAGGAGCCCAGCACTTACAGCCAGTGGCCCTGGGGGTCTCCTCCAGCTTTACCTCATGACATCCCGTGCTGCTGTGTGACTGCTGCTGTTGCCAAGGCCACCACTGCTATGAGCCTGAATGGCTAACGCTGAGATTCGCAGGGCCTCCCTTCCACCAGCCTGTCCTCCTGGCTCTCCTCCCTTTTGCCTCTTCTGGATCTCAGGTCAGTTTCAAAGTGGGTGGCTGTCTCAGCTCCCTGTGAGCTTCCATTTCCAGTCTACGCTACGGAAGTCAGAGAGCTCAGACACAAATCCCTCCCAATGGCAAAGGTGCTACAGCTGCAGCTTCCTCTGCAATGACCTGGTGGGCAGTAATCTGTATTAGCAGAATTCCTCTCAACCCAGCACCAGCTGGCGGAGGAGAGGGCAGTGCCTGGGCATTCTACTTTGGGAAGAAAAAGGACAATCAAAAACAAGTGAAATCCAACCACCACGGTGTACCCAACAGGTGGAATGGGCTGCAAAGTCCTTAAACATCTCAACAGGAAAGGTAGCTCCATTTCGCGGGCAATTATTTTCTGCTTGAAATTAGCTGTTCTCACAAAGAATGAACTGCATACCAAATCAATTGCTCCACTGAGGCTGCCATAAACTTCATGAAGCAAAGAATGATTCATTCTTCTAAAGCTGTGATTTCCTATTTGCTCACAAGCCAGTGCAGGGGAAATCCTCATCTTTCCCACTCACTGCTACACTCAGTGTGATGTGTTTACAGACCTTCGGGGACCACACCTCCTCCTGCTGTCTGCCTTACTCGAAAATTAAATCCAGCTTGTCCCTGACTTCCAGTAGCCAGAAAGTCTTTCACAAGATCCAGTCGCATGATACTAAGTACACACATAAATGTGAACACAAACCCCTCCAGTCTTCCCCACTGTAAATCAACAGCACGTCCTGTGTGTCTGACGATTCCTCTCAAAGACACTGGCTGCAGCAGAGGAAATTAAGGCTGGCACAGGTGCCCCAGAAGCTGAGTCATCCGGGGTGACTGGTGGCCCTGGAGTCCCGCCCAGGGAAGGACAGCCATGGGAGCCTGGCACACTGTCCTTTGGTGGCACAAATCCTGAGCAAGCCACGCCCCAACATTAAACAAGGACCTAGGACTGTTTTCTCTCCCACAGCCTCTGAGAACTTGCCCTTTTTCTCCCAATGTGATTTGTAAAAAATTCCCTTACCCAGCCTCAAGTAAATAATCAGAGTTAAGCTGGTTTCATACACCACGTTGACAGTAACATCTTAGAGGACACTTTCAATCCACCCACACTGCAGCTCAGTCCATCCGCACAAAGAGAAGACCCCCCCAACCCCCATCGCGGTCCAACTTGGGGGTACATGGATGGAAAGGTAGGAGTAATCAACAGGTCAACTCTGTCTGAAATAGGTCCGTGGCAAAGTAAATGCCAATCTACTGGCATCCACAAAGCACCCACATAGGCATCCACCGTAAGGAATGGAGGGTTTGAAGAGACAGGTCTTGATGGAGTTTAAAAGACACAAAACCTCCTTCCCTTTTAGGGTCAAGGGTTTGTTGATTCCACTACCCTGATGTGGAATTCAAAGAGACTGATAATTGTCACCCTCTCTAAGTGCTGGTTTCCATAATCAGGTCCCCATGCTTATCCACATCCACACCCCGCTTCTCTTACAAAGTCCCGCTTGTCTCCTGGGAATCCCTGCACGCCTCCCCTCTTTGAATCTCTGCAAATTTTCACTTATAAAACAATAACAACTGTCTCAAGGTCATCAAAAATAGCAGAACAGTGTTCCCCCATCTCTGAAAAATATGAATGTGAGAAATGGTTTCATAATGTTGAGAGAATTTATAAGACTTAAGCAGAAGAATCTTCAGATCCCCCATCCCCCAGAGATTTTTGCAGATGAGCCAGCCCAGTCACAAAAATGTATGTAAACTTGAAGATAAAATGGAATTAAAATATGTTTTAAAGAGAAGCAGGCTTTGAAAAAATGAGGATTTTAATAAAAACAGAAATTATGACTCAATATTTCTACCACACAAGCACCTCAGGGCATATGGTGCTACAAAAATCAAGCAACTGTGCCTATTAGCAAATCGGGAGAATGATAAGCGAAAATTCGATGGGCAGGAAAAAGCTTCACGGGCAGGCTGGGGTTTAGGGACATTCCCTGGCGACCCACAGTGACCTGTGCCCAGAGCAAGGGTTCTTGGCCTGGGCCCCAGGGACAGCCCTTAAAATATCCACCTCCATCCTTGAAATTTTATGTAAAACTGTAAGTCTGGGCATTTTTCTGAAGCGGGGTCCATAGCTCCCCCTGGATTCTTAGAAGGATCTCTGCCCCTTCACTGACCTCTGGCCTCTCGAGGACCAAAGGCTGAGACCATGTGAGAGATGGGCTCTTGGGCTGGGAACGGTCTAATCCAAGACAGTCACAGCATCCACAGATGTTACCCTGCCCTTAACGGCAGACCTCTGCTTCTTACTTATAAGGAGAAGCAGGTATATGGGGCTATGCCACCGAGGCCAAAGCCAGGAGGCACAACTGTGATGTGTGTTAGGTTTGTGTGGTCCAACAGTCTTCTCAATGGGGACACCAATGTGGGAGAAACATTTAGCTTTGCTTTCATCTCTTAAACAAAAATCTGAACTCTTCAATACAAATGCAAATTTCAAGCACGACTGAAATGCCAATCTTTTTATTCAATACATATACGTAATGTAACTACAGTTTGGGTCCGTGCCAGGAAAAACCATGAAATAGACATTTGTCTGCAGAGGCCACTCATTTCCCTGTCACAGGCTTCATTCACCCCACCCATGTCCCCAAAGGTACTCTCTTTCCTGGCACTTCACTCCTGCTTTCCCCTCCTCAGACGGAGGACTCCTACCCCACCCCATCCTTCCTGCTTTAGTGATTTGTCTTCTCTCTCAACCTAGACCTGGCCTTCAGATGAGGGGGTCAACACAAGCAGTCTCATCTACTAGCCTCTCCTTTATTTGTACATGGCCTTATAACCTAATATCTTAATTCACAGGACTGAATCCTTACTGGTTAGATTTGAGACATCATGGCAGAAGCCTGCGTGGTCCCATTACCTAACCATTAAAAGTGCATTTTGCCTTTGGACAGGGAGCTTTTCTGTGCCAAACCAGGAATCACAGACATGCAGGGGTAAGAGGGTCTACTCTAGCAAGGATTAAGATGGATTCCTAAAGCCATCTCATGCCCAAGTAAATAAGTATCCAACAAACAGACAATATCTACAACAGAAAAACATCACCCACTGAGCTCAAGTGACCTGCAACTTTCCTGAAAACCTATATGGCAACGACAGACAATAAAGCCAGCTAGAGAATGAACATCAAATTCTCTTTTAGCAGCAAGCATATTGCAGTTCAATCATTTTTAAAGCCTGGCAACTTTCCCTACACACTGTTAACTTGGCAAGGAGG